AAAAAAAAAAAAAAAACAAAAAAATAGAGGGAATAGAATATTGTTGAATAATGATGCATGGAGGAGATTATAATCATTGCAATGCAATGATGGTGTAAAAGCAATGTTCTCCCATGTAAACTATCACTTAATTCACGATAAAAACTAAAACAGCATGATTTAATGCATTAGACACTAAAGACTCAAGACCAGAAGAGCTGTGGGATGACATCAAGAATTAAAGGTCATTAAGAAGACAAGAAAGAAGGAAAAGACCAAATGGGATGTTAGAAGAGGCTCTGAAACTTATTTACCAATTAAGAGATCTAAAGAAAATGGAAGAAATGAGGAAGTAAAAGAACTGAATAGAACGTTTCAAATGGCATCTTAGGAAGACAAAGTTAAATATTATAATGAAAGGTGCAAAGGCTTGGGGTACAAAATGGAAGAACATGCTCAGTATTTCTCAAGCTGAGGGAACTGAAGAAAATATTCAGATCTTGACTTCTAATATTGAAGGATTTCAGGAGCAAAATATGAAATGATACAGAAAATGCCAAAAGAATATGGAAGGAATACACAGAGTCACCATACCTAAAAGCAATAGTTGGTGTCCTACCATTTCAAGAGGTAGTATATGAGCAAGAGACAATAGTACTGAAAAAAGAAGTCTAACGTGCACTGAATGCATTGGCTAAAAACAAGGCTCCAGGAATTGATGGCATACAAATTGAAATATTTCAACAATATGGTGTAACACTGGAGGCACACATTCATCTATGTCAAAAAGTTTGAAAGACAACTACTTGACCAACTGATTTGAAGATATCCATATTTCTGCCTATTCATTGATAATGGAAATGTAACATGGTAAAGACACTTTGGAGCAGAGCTGAAGTTTCTTACAAAACTAGTTTGAACATAAGATCCAGTAATTTTACTCCAAGGTATTTGTCCTAATTATTTAAAAACTTAAAATTCACACAAAGCCTGCATGTTAATTTCTGCAATGTCTTTACTCACAATCTGAAAAACTGGAAGTAACCAATATATCCTTTAATAGCGTGAATGTATCTATATAATGAAATGTTGTTGTTGTTAAGTGTCGTCGAGTCAGTTCTGACTCAAAGAATCTCTGAAAAGGGTTTCTGAGGAGATACTGGTGTATTTGAACCGCCAATCTTGCAGTTCAAATAGACCTAGCAGTCCAGGATTACATATTATGAAATATTGTTCCACAATAAAAATTAGTGGATGATACTCTGGTAGCGTAGTGGTTACGAACTGGGCTGCGAACCTTAAGGTTAGCGGTTCGAAACTACCAGCCGCTCTGCAGGAGAAAGATGAGGCTTTCTACTCCCGTAAAGATTTACACCCTCGGAAACCCTGTA